AAGTTCCCACCTTTTTTATGTACAATCACTTTAGTATAGTTAGTGAAGGCATATCAAATTTTACTTTACTATAAACACCTTTTCAACTACATGAGGGTGGGTCAAAACGTTGGTCCCTTAGTTTGCTGAATTTGAGCCCTTGTGTCTTTATGAGAACTTAACGAGATACCCTCTGCGTATTCAACTTCAACAAAAGCCATCTTCAGGACTAAATTTATCTGATCAATGTGATATGCCCAGGGAACATGTGAGCACTAATGATGCTCCTCCATTTCAGAGCCATAAGATATATTAGCAGATTACAGTGACACAGGAGTTACAGCTAGAAGCTGAGCCTGATACCAAAACACAAGGACTAAGTACAAGTAATCAGTTTTTCACATTGTTGTGGAGGAATTTTGGCCCACTGTTGCTTTTGTTCACTGAAGCATTCATTTAACTCTCCACAGCATTTTAATCAGGTTTTGGACTTCATTGCAGCACCTTGATCTTTTTCTTTTTCTATTGTAGATTTGTTTCTGTGCTTGGAATCACTGACCTGTTGTATGTTGGGCCGAGCTTTAGCTGTGGGAGACACGGCCTCACATTTGAATGAGTTCATGGTGGACTGAATGAGTGCAAGGTGCCCAGGTCCCATTGCTGTAAAACAATCCCAAATCATCACTCCACCACCGTGCTTGGCAGCTGGTATGAGGTGTTGTTGATGACATACTAATTTTTTGGAGCTAGTCATTATAGTCCAACACTTTTACTTTGGTCGTCCTGTAGAAAATGTACACAGAATCCTACAAGGAGGTAAAAAGGAGACCTTTTGTGTTAACATTTTAACCAAGTTTATCCAAAATGCACAACTTTTAAGTTTTCACCAGTGAATGATCAGAAAACAAGTAAAACTTCCCAGTTACCAAATGATTTAGTGCCACAAATTATTCTCTCCTGGACCGGGAGTTAAAATTATTCAAATTGATTAAGTGCTAAATTTTGACCCAACCTCATGTACAGTGAAGGCTTTGAAGTAACTTTGAAAACTTCTAAAGTGTAAAGTTAACTGGATTTGGATTCATTAAATGACTGACCCTGAACACAAATGACACGGTGTGACAAAGAGGCATCATCCATCTAAATTTACCGCCCAATTGATGATATTAGTCTGGTTTTATGCATGTACTATTTTGCTCGGGCCCAAAGTATTGGAGCAACATTTGCAAAGAATTTACATTTGTAAATCTATGCATGTGTGTAAGTACTGTTAATGTGTGTGGTTTTTGTTGTTGTTCCCCGATCAGGAGATGCAAAGCAGTGAATGACACTGGCTGGTAGAAGCTTTCCTCTTGGTGAGTTGGTGATCGGACACACACACACCACTTTGTGCTACTTTTCCTACAACTTACCCTTGTGAGGGGTAACCAGCAAGTCCAGTGTCTTCTGCGATAGGTTGGGCCAGATAGCCATCATCTCCTTTCTAAGCTCCGCATCCATCTGGTGCTTATCTGCACCACCTGGGTAGCATGTACCAATAGCGTCCATGCACACACATTGAACATTTGTAGACACATGGAGACGTCCGACCACATGTGAAGAGCCCCCAGACACAAAAAGAGCAAGGTACCGACCAAAAGAGAGGCACAATGGCATGAAATCCAAAAAGAAATATATTTATCCATTCAGGCATCCAAACATTCACCCAAAAACAAAAAAGTAATTTGTTAGCAATTTGTCATATTTGCTACAATAATCTAAAACATACTTCTCAAGAGAAAGAGACAGAAACTGTGAAGAAAGAGACTCAAAGTGTCACAGTACTTCATACCATACCCTTAGCAATCTTTATGTCCAGTGCTGTCCTTATCAGAGCCATGAGCGTGGAGTTAAAATGCACCGAGTTGTCATCAGCAACCGGTAGATCCATGCGCAGCAGCCTCTGTGGAAAGCCAGTCAGGGATGAGAGGATGAGAAAGGGATGTGTCCCTGCTGAACTGTGGTGTACCTGAACCTCCAGGAAGGGGAGGGGATGAGGGGTTGGGGGCAGGGTTGAGAGAGCTCCATAGACTACAGCCAATTCCAGCTGGACTTGGATTGGATTTGTCCAGGTTTTATTCAATATTCCCTGAGAGAGATTAGAATTAAGGCACAGATGCCTGGGTGTAGAGTCAATGAATCCTCTGATAAACGTGTGCCATATAGAGTGACTCTTGAGAATTCGTGGGTTAAGTCTGTTGCACAGCTTTGCTAATTTTTTGCATTGGCAAGTGCAAGATCATTTACGTGATGACAGAATGTTGAATAGTCGAGTTCCAGTGTCTCCTGTTTCTTTTTTTTTTTCCAGTGATACTCTACGAAACAGCACAGCTATATCCAATGAGGGCCATCTGCTGCTAAGCAACTGTGAGAGCTGAGAACCACAAGGAAGAACAATCGGAGCCGAAATGGCCTCCGACCCAACCTGTGCCCATGTTCCCTAAATGTGTGAATGCATGGGTGCATTTACACATCTCTGTTGTTACACACATATAGATAGATATAACAGTACACATACACAGACCCGACCCCCCCACCCCCCACCCCACCCTACCCCAACAATCATCCCTTCCCTCTACACTTACACACAATTATTTGCACAGACTCCAATTAAGAGTGCTTAATTGGAGTCCTTTAGAGACAAAATAAGTTGACTGAAGAACAATAACAGTATCACTGGTGTAATTCTGCTATTTTTCAGGAGACTGCTGTGGTTTTGTTTAACTGAGGCAACTGCTATAGAGCTCCCCCTACCTCTAAAGAGGTTCCCTGTCTTTACATGTCTATACCAGGTAAAACCAATGGAGAAACCTGCAGATAGAACTGAACAAGCTAGGCCAGCTGGGGTCGCTTGCCGTTCCTATCTTGACCAGTTAACATCCATCAGATTTACCTACGAACATGAGCGTTGGGCACTCACGATGGCAAGCACGGTAGTACGATGGCGGTGGAGTTGTGTACGTGCTCTTGTGTTCCTGAGTGTGTGCAAGTGTCGGGCATGCCCAAAGCCAAGTGTGCAGCAGGCAAAGGGCATCGGCCAACATCCACAGCGCTCGACAGGCAACAGGCAGGCAGGCTCGATGTCGCCCGTAGCCATGCGACAAAGAGGATTTCATGCAACACCCCATAGAAAAATCCAACAAACTCGGACACAGCATGCAACATGCATTTACTTCACTCCCACTATCTAAGCCCAAACTCTTCCCACCCAGCCCACTACTCCCCATGACTTCCCTTAAAACCCACTTTTACAATACAAGCAGCCGTGCATCCGCGCAAAGAGAGTATCCTCAATCCAATCGGATTGATCCTACTGATTGACAGGTAATTTCACACTTTTTGGATTCTTCTTTTGTTTTCTCCTTCTACTTTTTACATTCATGGCTGCCCTAAAGTCAAATTGGACAGCGAGGTGTTACTTCGTATCAAGTCAAGATCTCTCTCAATGCCAGACGGGTGCAGTGTCTTAAGGGGGTGTAAGAGTTAGAGAGGATTAGAGTTGTGGCATTCCCTGAAAGAAGAAAAAAAATCATATAGAAGTTTAAAAAACAGATGATTGAAGTTCTGTTTTTTCTGTTTATTTTATTTATTTTTTTGGTTTTGGACCAACCAGACTTTGTGGTAATAGAGCTGTAGGGTAAGGGGACCGGGGCGTATCAAAGGGGACACATGGCAGGGATAACAGTTAGTCGGGCTAAACTAGGCAACTCTAAGCTTGGTCATGAGATGTAGTTACAGATAAAAAGGTAAAGGTGAGAATGAGCAGGGAGAGGAGGGTTGTGAAAACACTGAAAGAGTAAAAGAGGAATCAAGAGAACGTGAGTCAGTGTGATTTAAACTGAGAGGAGAACTGAGAGTGTGTGTGTAGATAGAAAAGAGAAAAGAGAGGCTGAAAATTACAGAACACGACAAAAGATAAAGACGAAGACTAAAAACAACACTGACAGAGGTCAGTTCAAAAGAGACAATCTGTCGTAGCAATACACATTTAACAGCTTTTTCTTTTTTTACTTTGAGTAAAGGGCTTTGTGTCCACCAAAGTGAAGATCAAGAACTTTGCCTAAATATTAAGAGCAATGTAAACCTTCCCCTCTTTATTCATTAACTGTTTCTCATATCACAAGGTTCTTTAATTGACTTCTTTTTGTCGGATTTGTGTAAATGAATACTGGAAGGTTCTGATGGCTGAAGTATGTGATGGGTGCTAGTGCCAAGACAGTTTGACATACTGGAGAGGAAACCAAGAGAAAGAACAGGAAGGAGAGGTAAAGTGGAGACAGAGTGGGCTTGACAGAGGGATGTAATGAAGGAGTGAAGATGGCTCCTAATTGGTGACAGACAAGTGGATGTAGAAGTAGAAAGACAGAAAAATGCGAGGGAAAGGATAGCTGAAGCAGAAGGTCAGTGGAGAGAAGAGGAAAACAGAGGAAAAGGAAGAATGAGAGAGGCAAATGGATAGTACAAAGATTACTGACATCCAGATTCAACAGAAATGAGTAACGCTGGAGATTTTCTAATAATTGTTAAAATTCCTGCTTTTCACTCACCACATATGGGAGGCTACTGTACACACAGGTATTTGGAGATAAGTGGATCTACTGCACATACAGATAATTGACTTTAGGAGTCATATCAGGTGTAGCTCATTACAGGAGCAAGCAGATCTAATTTGGTGCTGGCTAAACAGAGTTGGCCAATTCATTAAGTATTTGTGTGAATTAGTGACTGTTGTTTCTTGGGAAATAATTTTAAGGGACTTTTTTTTGCTGTGAATTCTTCAAATAATTAACATATTTGTAATAACTTTGCAAAAATTTAAAGTAAAATAAACTTTTGAGGTAATAAAAGACATTTAAACTATTTTGGAATAAAGTTGTAACATTACAAAAGCTGGAAATAGTGAAATACTGTCAGTACTTTCTAGATACACTGTAGCTATCAATTCCCAACTTTCTGAGCTACTATTTCTGAGCTCCTGCTTCAGGTAAGCAGCATGTCTCTAATTTCTTTTTCAACCAACACCATCGCATGTTAGAGATTAGATTCTTTCACGCCAACCTTACAAAGAAGACCGTGACCATAAATATTACTATTTTTAAAGAGTATAACATTTCAATAACTATAGCGTGGTTCACCAAAAAGGGAACACAGTCACTATTAATAATTTTCCAGTAGTGTATTTTACAACCTACTCACTTGTGAGTAGCTTTGTTTCGTCTCCCTCCTTCTCAATCCTCGCGACAAATAAATTGAATAAAACTGAATAAAAAATTAAAATGAATTTTCTGTGAAAAGTGAATTTTGACTCCTAATAATTGCCAACAGATACAGCGAGTACTGCTAACCACAAAACCCTTTGAGCTGTTGCTGAATTTCTAGGTGTAAGTTACATATTTCCTGATTTTAATTTAAAAAAAACTTAATTTGATGTCATTTAAAAAAATAAATAATCAGAGAAATCACTTCCCTCCTGGTTGAAGCACAAAAAGCACCAAACCATCTTGTCAACAGTGTTTTAGTGAATCTGGATGGCAATAAGAAGAAGGACAGGTTGAGAAGGACTCAGCTGAGGTGTAAAGAGAGAGTAGACAATAAGACGAAGAGACAGTGAATGCTGAAATGCTCAATCCAAATCTCTACACTGGTGGTCTGAGGAACAAAGAAGCCAAAGATGCTTGAATGTCAAAAAATCATCTTGAAAAATGAGGAAAAAAACTACAAGGGCCAGAACATGTTTGTACAAGCATTGTATATGTGTACGGTAATGTGTGTGTGCGTGTGTATTACATAATACACAGAATAATAGAGCCATCCACAGGAATAAGAGGCACAGAGGTTTGAAGACAGAAACCACTGCCGGTCCTTCTGTACCCGCATCGTAAGCAAATATTGCACTGCGTGAACAAAACCCTTAATAAAATTATCTCAATTTAAGTGTTGCTTGTATATGTTTCCTGAAATAAATCAATGGCGTGTGGAAATTATGTATTTTTCACAATTTTTCAAGCATAATTTCACTGCACTAAAAATTTCTATAAGCATTTTATAGGACATAATTTTAAAATGCAAACCTGTAATAAATAATGAATAAATGTAGATTAAGTAGATGTATATATTTTAAAACAATTTTTTTTCTTAAGTTTGAATATTTCAGAACAAAATAGGCTATAAATAAATGAAAACTGAATGTAGTCATTAATATTTAGTGGACTTACTTACACCAATCTAAAAACACATGGACGTCTGAAAGTTTTCTTACTTTCTAAGTTACACCTGTGCTTTAACTGTGTTTTGCTTGCGTCCGTGCAGGTTGCAGAAGGACTGGCAAAGCCTCCTCCGTTCCCTTACTCCTGTGGCTTGACGGGAGGAAATCAAAGAAAGAGGACTGACTACCAATCCACTATCACTGCACTTCACGACAAAAGCCCATCCCTCCATCCCCGCGGTCGGAGAGAAAGAAGAGAGGACAGCGCTCACCACCACCACAACCACCACTAACAGACAATGAGGAGAACACCGCTGGGAGGAGGGAGGGAAGAAGGGAGGGAGGTGGAGGAGAGTGGGTAAGAAGGAGGAGGAGGAAAGGGGACAGGGAGGCTTGAGCAAATGAAAGAGAAGAGGTTCTCTTCCCCAGCGATGGGGAGGCTGAAGAACGGAGACTTTATGGATGGGGAAAAGGAGGAAGAAATGAATGAGGGGAGAGGGGAGGGAGAGGAGGAGGTGAGGGTGGTGGCTGAGGGGGATGGAGGGGTAAGGTGGGGGGCGAGTCTACCTTATAGGCGACCCGGGCGGGACACCTCTTCCCGAGGCCTAGCGGCGGACACATGTGTCTTAGCATCTGATACATGTCTGTGTAACTGATCCGGCCGCTGGAGTGGCCACGAACACACATACACACACGCACACACAAACACACACACACGTGCACCATATATGCACATGCATCCAACACCCCATACGCCAACACACCCACACCAGACAAAACAAAGACGGACGACGTAAAAACGTAAGAAAGAAAAACAATGGGGGGGAGGGAGGAAGAGGAGGATTAAGAGGGAAGGACGGAGACAGACAGACAGAGGTGTGTTCGGGGGAGACATGAGGAGAAATAAAAAGAAACCGACAAAGGAAAGGAAGAGGGGGGGAAACAAATACACAGAGGTTATTGTTTTGATCACTGTGGATATGTGGTTGCTGTGGTGAGAGAAAAAGAGAAGGAAAGAGAACGAGAGAGAAAGGGGGGGTGTGTTACGTGGCTTCTAGTTTGATATATTGTAACGTTAGTGGAGAGAAGAGGAGGGAAGGGAGGAAGGCAGGGAGAAAGGTTAGGGAAGGGGAGGGTTGGAGGAGGTGTTATTTAGTTTAGTTACTTGCTATTAAGATACCGTTCTATGCGAGTCGAAAAGGGGATTTGAGTGGGTATTTTTTTTTCGTTAAAAGTCGGTGCCCTCTTTCGCCGCTCGGATAGAACTGGCAGCGGGGCTTCTAGCAGGCAAAGAAAGCACCGCTGCAGAGATCGGAGTGAGTCACAGTGACAAGTCAATGCAGTCCATTATTGAGGCTTAGTCTCCACCAGGAACCTCCACTCACAGCTGTGCCTTTAGATGTTCAGGGGAGCTCTCCCTCAAGATGGGAAAGGTCACGACACATTTACAACAAGGGTAGCAGCTCAGTAGAAGGTATTCAAAAAGTTTTGGTTGTTTGAGAACCATTAGTTGTTTATAATACAATAAAATGCAACTGAATTAGCCTGTCCAGATAGCTTGTACCTATTAGTTTAGGTTGAATGAAGTGGAATATCTACTGAAGGGTACAAAGCACCTCAAAAAGAACCATTCAGTTTCAAAGTACTTCAATTTCGCAGCTGTTCAGCAGTAATAATCCAAAGACGTACTGTTAGAAAGAGTGGATTTGAGAGTTTTGCGTGATTGCTAGAGGCTGCCATGCCTCCAGACATGCTCGCAAAAGTATAGGATGAGTTTGATTATCATATGGATGTATGTTATGCATCCGGAGGGAGACGCATCGAGCACTTGTGAACATCGTACGTTTTGTAAGTAAAGCTTTTTATTCAGCCATGTATTTAAAACTTTACTGCAAAGTTCTACGTCTATTACTTAAACAAATATAGCCTTTTGAAATTGGGTGGTTCTTCCGATACACCCTGTATACAACAGGTCTCATACTACAGACATATTAGAGGTCTCACAACTCAAATATAACTCAGTCAATAGAGGACAAGAACAACTTAACAGATGGAAAGGTGTAACATTGTGAACACACATATCTGCAGCCCGATGCAGATTGTTTGGGTTTTTTAACTGTTAAATACTACAATGTGAATTAAAAATGAATTGTAAGTTCGCTTCAACTGGCTACTTAGCAGTGGCTTCAAAAAGCAAATGTAAACGGTATGACTAACAAATCTTCCCACGAACCTCTGCCGACACAAGCAGTTACTAAGAGGTACCTGGTGGACACAAGACTATTTTTAATGTCAAGAGTCCTCGCCCCAAACCACACACACACCCTGCCCCTTTCCTTTTTTGTCCCCCACACACCAGAGCCACAAGCAGAGCAAGTTTGGTCATCTCATCACAGTACTTCAGATAACAGTTACCCAACTCCTGCAGATTGATTTTACATGAAAATTATACTTAAAGAACTAAAGGAGGTCGTTTGATAGCTGATTTGTTGTCTTATGAAAATAGTTAATAGTAGCTAGTCCTTTTAGCTTTAGGAAAAGTATTGCAAAAGTACGTTTAACTTCGATATTACTGTGCTAAAAGTACAGGATGCATTTTATATAAGGTTAATGTAACAGGCTGCATACTGGTTTTGGTGTGTCTAATTTTTAAAGCCACTACGTGTACTGGTTTGAAAGTCCGTACAAGTTAAGAAGGGTTTAGAAAAGAAGCTACTCAAAAAAACAACAACCTTTCAATCATTATATCTGAAACAACCTTTTGTGCTACAAGAACAACCCAATAAGGAAGTGAAGAAAAACTGCAACTCCTCAACTGGACACTTGAGACTGACTCCAGTCCATTATTCAGAAAATCAATCTTAGTTTATACTTCGACTTTGAATAAATGTAGAGCCTACCATACACACTATCCGGTCATTAAGTGATGACGTGACGAATCCCACTTCCGGGCCTAAAGTAGTCTGCGTTTAATATGGCTTTTGTGTTGTTAACATGTTTAATGTT